AAGCTTATGTTCAGCAGTGGACTTGTAAAGGGCTCTAATATGTCATCGCCTGTGTTTTAATCTCTCGTGAAAATTTCCTAAGAATTTTTCAATGTAACGTTGTGAAGTTTTGTAAACAAAATACAAATAAAACAAAACTGTATGGTCCATGACTTTTGCCTGCCTTAATTTGAGAATCATAACAACAACTAAAATAAAACTACTGACATGAACTGACATTTCTGTTCTACTCCACAGAATACATTTACCCTGACGGGGTCTGCTTAGCTTGCTACATATTTATTTATCTATGGGTCTGCTCTATGTTGCTCTATGTGACAACAAAAATGTGTATCCACAGTGATCCACAGAGTACATTAAATGTGTACCTACCAACTTTTTTAAAGCTAAGAAGTGTAATTTTTTTATAATTTGATGGAGTAGTCTTTAATTAAATAATTAGATCTTGTCTTACGTATACTTCTATATATATTTCTATATATTATATATTCCTTCACAATGTCCATTGAAATTGAATCTGCAGAGTAAGCTCGTGTGCAAATTTGGTTATTTTCTTTACTTTATCTCATTACAGATATTTAAAAAGTCTAAATTAATTTTTCAGTGTTATTCGTTTAATTCAGCAATATCTAAAGGAGTCAAACCTTACAAAAACTTTACAAACCCTTCAGGTAGGTAGATCTGTTTACATCGCAATATGTATCAAGAAAATTTATTTACATCAATGGAAAATTTTAAATTTTATGTGAATATTCTTATAACATTCATAAATACCTTTGTTGCATTATAGGAAGAAACTGGTGTATCACTTAATACGGTGGATAGTGTAGACGGCTTTTGTGCAGATATTAACAATGGACACTGGGACACGGTGCTAAAAGCCACAGCTTCACTTAAATTGCCAGATAAAAAACTAATGGAGCTGTATGAGCAGGTTGTGCTTGAGTTGATAGAGCTGCGTGAACTTGGTGCTGCCCGAACAATTTTGCGCCAGACACACCCATGTCAGCTTATGAAACAACATGAAACTGATCGCTATATGCATCTAGGTAATTCCTTTTCCTATATAAGAAGACAAATGAACATGCAGTCCACCTGGTGGTAAGATGGTGATAACAAGGTGGCCTGTAAATACCTACAGTAATTGTCAATTAACAGATGCGTTGTCACCTTTTAGGACTATAATTAAATGCCTCGACCTTTCTATTTATACTGAGCATGTCAAACTTGCATGGCTCTTACTATGTAAAACAAATCTAAAAAAAATTACCCAGTTTCAGTTCATATGGCTTTAAAGTTATGCAGTACTATCTTTTGTCAAGCAAATTAAACTTTTGATGGGGATAATGCGGAGGTGTTTTTAAAATTCACTAATATAATTAAATATTCATAAGTTATTATATTAGTGTCTTTCTAACCAATTATTATATACAATTCTTAATATTTACACTTTTTAGTTTGATATCGAGTATTATAAATAAAAATTGGAATAAAAATCTGCTGAGCGGGTGGAGATGTCAAATAGAAGCAGGAGCAGCCCCTTTTTGAATAACATGCCTTCTAATTAACAAATAGATGAATTGTAGCTAATGCTGTTGGATTAGAAAGGTTGCTGGTATATGGCCTTGTTACCCAAATACCACGATTAAATTAAAGCCAAAATATAACTTTTAAAAATGACAGTCCCCTGACATAACATGCATGTATATTGTAATGAAGTTTTTTTTGTGAATTGTATATATCTAGGACTTCCAGGAAGCACTTGCTTGATTACAATCTCACCTGCACCCAACGGCCTGCAATTAGACCATTTTTTGTTCCTTTTTAAGGAAATGTTGCCCCCTGTGATGATTTTCTCATATATAGGAACATCCATTAATCACATGAGGCTCGATACGGGGGGAGGGGGTTCGAAAAAAATACTAAACATCACCAAGGAGGGGAGGTGTAGTGAGGAGAAGCAAGTGTATTTATTTTTTCGTTGTATGCGCCATTTTTAAATTGAAAAGCGGTTTGTGATCTTAACTAGAGATGGGCCGAATATTCGTTTTATATTCGGTATTCCGCATATTCGGCATCTTTACCAAATATTCATATTCGGCTGAATATTCGGCAGCTTTACCAAATATTCGTATTTGGAAAATTCACCGAATAGCTAGTTTAACCTTCTGGCAATGCAGAAACATGATTGGTAAACGTTGGGGTTTAAGGCCAATAATTATACTGTGGCTGTACAAACCTGTAATTCGGCCCATGATCACATTCGGCTCTCTGGTATGGTGGACCAAAACCAATGAAGCCACCACTATACAAAAGCTTCAGCGTTACCTGAGATTAGCTTGTATGGCTGCCACGGGCTGCATAAGGATTACACCAACAGCAGCTTTGGAGGCTACGCTGGAGCTAACACCGCTTCATCTACATATACAACAAGAAGCAACTTTAGCTGCCATTAGACTCAAGACCCTAAATCTTTTAAGTAAGAGTAGAGTCCCCCATACAGATATAATCGATAGAATTTACTCAAAAATTCCTATCTTACAAGCCAAGTATGATAGGATCCCAAAACAATTTGTATTCGATAAGAAGTACAGGATACAATTGAAGGAAGCTGACCATATGGAAGGATTGGGTCCAAGAGAGCTCAAAGTTTTCACGGATGGCTCTAAGACAAAGAAGGTGTGGGGTCTGGGGCTTTCTCTGAAGACCTTAATATCCACATATGCACACCGCTGGGTACCCAAAATACACAGTACCAAAGGACAGTCTTCCAGGCTGAATGCATCGGTATCATCCAAGCGGCCATAGCAATAGATGCTAGGAAGGTGAAAGACTTCTCCATCAGAATACTGACCGACAGTATGGCGGTACTACAAGCTCTGAGTTTCAATGTGACTAACTTGGGACTGATATACGAGTGCCATCAACGATTGAATGAGATATGTAAGCACAATAATGTGACTCTGCAATGGATCAAGGGACACAGTGGATCTAGAGGCAACGATGCAGCAGATGAACTGGCCAGAAGGGGATCGGCCCTGGCAACTATAGGGCTGGAACCAATAATACCAATCCTCTTTGGCTACGTTCGTTCACTGGTACATAGATACATCAATAATTTACACGCTCAGCTTTGGAAAAATTTTGTAGACTGTAGACAAGCTAGGGAGGCCCTACCTGAAATAAATAGTCGTCTAACCAAGGTTCTAATGAAACTGAACAAGCCACAGATCAGGATAGTAACAAGTGCTATCACAGGACATGGCTCTTTTAACAAACATTTGTTCACCATAGGTGTCACTGACAGCCCCCTATACAGGGCATGCGGGGGAGAGGAAGAAACGGCGGCTCACATGTTGCTGACATGTCCAGAAGTCGCTTCATACAGCTGAGCTTCTTCGGGGAGATATCATGGCTCGAATAAGCATATTATTCCTGCCCACACGCAAAATACGTACTTAGACGTGGAGTTGCGGAAAACAGCCCGTCGTAAACTAAACTATTCGTTAAAGTGGTACTAAAGTATCTACTGTATGGAAATGTACAAATTGAGTAATGCTATCTCTTTCATAATTTTGCTGTTGAAAGTATTTTTAATTATGGATTAAATTTACTTGTATAGCGTTATGGTTTTCAGGCACTATAGATTTATTTCCAATTATAGCAAATAGAAAGCTTGATAAAATTTTGTTTGGAATCAAACAAAGAAACATTACATTACAGTCGTCAGTTTCTCTAAAATAGGTCCAAATCCTTTTTTTTCTCACACAAATAGTCAAAACATAAGCATGTGCCGGCAATTTGCTCAGTACTAGATGATGCAATAACATGTCAGGTGTGGCGGAGAGCGAGGGGCAGGGTCCGGCGCTAACCCCGCGCGCTCGGTAACAAGTTTCGACATAATTTGGTTAGGTACCGAGGTAATCCTGCCGAATAATGTTCGGCCGAATATTCGGTTCGGTAAAAATTGTACCGAACTTTCGAGCGAATATTCGTATTCGGTGAAATCCATATTTGGCCCATCCCTAATTTTAACTCGCCGTCGCTAGGCAACAATTCCCCCCACTCGACACTTTCTCCTTACCCGATTTGCATCCAGTGGCCTATATGTTCCAAAACCTCAAAAACATGATGGAAACCCTGCTACATTTCTATCAACCTCAATAGCAACCTTAATATCAACTTTACAGTCCTTAATATTCCTGAATTGAATTACATTGTACTTGTGCTTACAAATAATATTCTGAGAATTTTATATATAATTAGTCAAATTTACTTGTATAGCGTTATGGTTTTCAGGACTATAGATTTATTTCCATATACAAATAAAGTAAAATTTTGTTTGGAATCAAAAAAGAAATACAGGTGTAAATTTTTTTCACCTGTCAAAAATAACATGTCCAATTTGCTAGTATAATATCAATAAATGTGGGGGAGTTTCGACATATGATTTTAGATATGGGAGGGGTTGATTGGATGTTTGGTTTGGTATGAGAGGTTAGCCTAAAACCTCACCATGTATCATCAGAGAGAGGAAGGGGGTTAAAAAGTTGTTAATAAACATTGCATGATTAATGGACAACCCCTATTGTGGAGACAGTTTGCGCACATAATATATTATTTCACAGCAACAAATATCTAGACCTGGAACAATTATTGTAAATATTTGTTCCATGTGGGATTCAAACCCACAGCCCTCAGCCCTGCAATTCAATGCTAACCTACTGTGCCATGGAATAGATTAAAGAATAGTACCTCTTTTTAGCCATGTTCAGATAATGACTATGGACATGGCTAAAAAGAAATCAAAACCCACAGGATTGTTTACCGGTTCTTCTCTAGGAAAGTCTTATTTTTGGAAACCAGTGCAGATTTTGATATTTATGAGAGCTTCAAACAAGCCTAATTTGCATAAATAGTTTTGCATTTAACATTGGAAGTATGATATGAGCAGCATAAGCCTAAGTAGCATAAGAGAGCACAAGTTTGATTGTGTGCAGAGAACCTGGTGTCGCGGTCGTACTTCGATCCGCGCGAGGCGTATGGCTCGGGCGGCGGCAAGGAGCGACGGCGCGCGGCGCTGGCGGCGGCGCTGGCGGGCGAGGTGTCCGTGGTGCCGAGCTCGCGCCTGCTGGCGCTGCTGGGCCAGGCGCTCAAGTGGCAGCAGCACCAGGGCCTGCTGCCGCCGGGTGAGCGCCATGCGTCCACACGCTTGTGCCAAATGTTATGCTTGAAGCACAAATGGTTTGACTCCACCCCACTCACACCACACTCCCATACAATATAAGTGTAGAAAATTGGAGACCCCTTTTACTGGAAACAAGGCTTTCCATCTTAGTCCTCAGGGATGACAATGTATCTACATTTTGATTCTTAATCGAGAACACATACATTTCTATCACATTTATCTATCAGGTTGACTGTGCGCTTGGTATTCTATTAAAAAAATACAAATTCTTGCTCTGTGTGAGAATCGCTACATCCGAATACTTAGCAAGAGGAAAACAAAGCCAGAGTTAATTTGAAACGAATTTTTATTTTTCGACAATTACCAATAAATAAGAGTCGTGGTAGCTCAGATGGTTAACACTCGCTGTAAATATAACAAAACGCGAGTAACCCGGGTTCGATCCCCGCCGGCACCAATGAAATTGTTAATTGCAATTTTGTTCGCCAACACGTATTGGGGCAGCGCGGCGGACACTTCCTTGCCCTAAAACCCTCTCAGAAATGAGTGGAGGCCTGTGCCCAGCAGTGGGACGTATATAGGCCGTAACTTTACTTTAACTTTACCAATAAAACTTAATGTCTCACTTCACCATCAGTTATATTTTAAAATATAGTTACACAAAAAATGTATGCCAAGTGCAAACTTTTTAGAGTTCAAATAACATAGCTTGCAACACAATAGGTTTTACTATTTATAAATCTGAAAGCATGTCTAAAATCCTATCTTCACCATACATTCTAGAATATGTGTAATAAAAGAACTTAACAGTTGTGAAACTTACACAAATAGGACTAAAAACAATTCAATTGTTTTTTTAGGAACAACTATCGATTTGTTCCGGGGTAAAGCAGCCATTAGAGATGAAGAAGATGATCAGTGCCCAACTCAGCTATCAAAAATTATAAAATTCGGCCAAAAATCTCATGTGGAATGTGCTAGGTAATTTATTACAATTTAAGTTTCACTGTTAAATTGTTGTATAATGTTATTAACAATAAAGTCTTAAATAATAGACCACATAGGCTGTACATAAAACAGAAAAATTAAAATTACTATGGAGTTTTTTTACTGACACACTGCCAATGTTTTTCCTTCTCAAAGTTTGAAGTTTTCAAAATGAATATTATGCCATCTATAAAGTAAACCACTTTATCGTACTTACTGTAATATTCTTAACAATACCGACCATTATAGGTACAGTAGATGGAGCACCAGGAAAAACAAGGGCACCAAAAAGTTTAATCTGGTGGTGGCTGTTGATGTATTTGTTTTAGTAAGATTTGTTTTAGATATATAAATTGCGTGAGTGTTTTAATTTGTTTCTATTGCAAGGTTTTCACCGGATGGACAGTACTTGGTTACGGGTTCAGTGGATGGTCTGGTGGAGGTGTGGAACTTCACGACGGGCAAGATCCGCAAGGACCTGCGCTACCAGGCGCACGACGAGTATATGAGCATGGAGGAGGCCGTGCTCAGCCTCGCCTTCGGTCGCGACAGCGACACGCTGGCTGCCGGCTCCATCGACGGCAAAATCAAGGTACCTTTAAGGTTTTGCGTGGTAGAGCCATGTTTTTAGCTATATTATGGTTTTAGTACAAATGAGTGGGCTAGACCAGGGAAGAACTAAGCTCTCATAGAATGCCAGCGTACGATAGCAGTTTAATGCTGCTGTGTTTCGTATGGTGAGTGAGAGAACTGGAGATCCTTTTAACTGCAAATGATTCATTCCATCTTAGTCCTCAAGAGTGACAATGCATATGCATTTTCATTTGTAACTGGGTAGGTGTCTGTAGAGCACAGTATTCACTTACCATCAGGTGGACTGTATGTTCCTTTGTCACCCTTATGCTATAAAATAAAACGTCCAAAGTGAGTGGGGATCAGTGTCGCGACAGCAAGTGGCGTGTGGTGACGTGGGTGACGTGTTCCCGTGGTGCGGTGCGCAGGTGTGGAAGGTGTCGACGGGGCAGGTGCAGCGCAAGCTGGAGCGCGCGCACACGAAGGGCGTCACGTGCCTGCAGTTCACGCGCGACAACACGCAGATACTCTCCGCCTCCTTCGACCGCACAATACGGTCAGTTGCCACTCATCCTACTATTTCTAATTAAACCAAACATGCAACATTTGCCACACAAGTACGACATACACACTTTCATACAATTTTTATTTTCATCCAACCTTTTGTGAGGTTATGGAACTGAAAGTTTCTAACAAATACAAATATGCCTCTATGACATTTATTACTACTTCCATTATTATATTCATTACAAATGTTTTTGTTCTACTATTACCAGTACAGTTTTATTTTATTTCCTTAAAATTACGATAAATTGTATAATGTGACAGAGATTCTAATAGGATTCAATTAAAATTACAGTACATAAGCAAGAAATGCTTTTTAAAGAATTGATTTAATTTTTTTCACAATAACTGCATTAGGGACACAAACCATATCGATTCATTCAATTTAATCGATAATTTTAAGCAGGTCACCTCGCTATGAAGCTGTGACTGACAAATGCCAAATGTAACCTATTAAAATTTCTCTACTGTATATGGCACCATAGTCTTGAACAACAAAGTTTCGTTTCGTGACACTATTCAGTGAGCCTTAGAGCACCGATTTCTCGAAAACGACTCGAATAATTTGTATAAAATTTTGTATTGAGACATTGTTTTACATAACATATTAAATTGCATAGTTTTGTTGTGAAACAGGTGTTAAAGCGTCCAACTGAACCGTCTTTTTTTAGCTTATTCTATGGCAGTCTCATAATCGTGTTAGGTATTTTTTTTACACATGTTATAACAATTATTTTTTAATCTCGAGTAACAGGCACTATTACACATATTGGAGTCTTATAGGGAACCGAACCCATACTTCAATACCAAATCTTAGCCAAACATTGATAAATTTTGCTAACGTTAACAACCTCGTTCAATACAATTGTATGACTTATATAGCTGGTCGTATACTTGATCTTGTTTTAACCTACAACATCCACCTCTTAATACTGTGATTCACGGAGATAGTGGAACTAGATTACCATATAATATCAATAATAAGAGACCAAATTTTTATTAAGCAAATAACGAATTAATCCATAATTTTTTTACGGAAATAAATTGGGTAGAGAAGTTTGATAGACTGTGTGATGTGAATGAGCTTCTAGAAATCTTTTACGAAATTTTATACATAGCAGTACGAAATTTCGTACCTTATTATAAATCAAAAACTTACAATATCCATCGTGGTTTGATCATAAACTAATTATTGAATAAAAAACAGAATAACGAAGCGATATAATAAATATTTTTTAAAGAGCCGTGGTAGCTCAGATGGTTAACGCTCGCTGTAAATATAACAGATTGCGAGAAACCCGGGTTCGATCCCCGCCGGCACCAATGAAATTGTTAAATGCAATTTTAAGTGCCGATTTACCACGTGCTCGACGGTGAAGGAAAACATCGTGAGGAAACCTGCATGTCTGAGGAATAAGAAAAAATATTTCGAAGACATGTGAAGTTCGCCAACACGCATTGGGGCAGCGCGGCGTACACTTCCTTGCCCTAAAACCCTCTCAGAAATGAGGGGAGGCCTGTGCCCAGCAGTGGGACGTATATATGCTGTAACTTTACTTTTATAATAAATATAAAAATCCGTTCGATAGAATCGAATTAAAACTTATAGGCAAGCGTTGTGGAATCTTAGCAACAACTAAGTGTTACTATCGCTATCTAATAAAATATGAAGATACACTTGAAAAATTCCAAACTCAAGTCAAGGTCAAGTACATTTCCGATACTCATGAGCGAGGGATCGTCTTCCACCTCAGATAGTTTAGTTATATGTGAGATGTTTGCTTCTTACTTTTCCTCCGTTTATAGCCTTGAGGATGACGATAGTTATGATGAATGCATGTCCGATTACTTACAACCACTAGTAAATCAATTTGTGGTCTTCCAAATTTTAGGTTAAAATTTTCATTAAAATACTTCAAGTAGAAGTAATACTTAATCACTCCATTTAAATCTGAATTTTTGGCTATAAATAAAGTATGCATATTTTTAACTGAAAGTTGTGCCTCCAAGTACTCTAGGTTTTTTCCAGAATAATGTGATTTTTTTTTTGTTGGGAATGACTGTATGTGTTGATGTATGAGATCAAGCACTGGTCCTTTGATGGCGTTTCCTCTAACAATGATTTGTCTTCATTTTCAACAACATTTAGGCCTCTATATAAGTGAACGTCAGCACGGGTTCTTCAGGTCTCGGTCCACTAGTACGATTTTAGTTCCCTTTACGGAATTCCTGTATGAGGCTTTTGACATGGGCCATCAAGCTGATGCTATTTATACTGACTAGCAAAGCCTTTGACAAGGTTTCGCATAAGATTTTGATTTCTAAGTTGTGTGCCTACGGGATTTGTGGCTCGTTACCCAAATGGTTGAATTTGTATTTAGTGCAAAGGACCTTCTTTGTTGCAATTAATGGTTTTCAATCAAATACTCAAACTATAAGTTCCGGTGTTCCTCAGGGTTTTCATTTGGAACCAGTTTTATTTCTTTTTTACATAAATCGTATTAAAAAAAATCTCTTTTCAAAATATTTTTATATGCTGATGACTTAAAATTTATTAGAATAATTAAGAGTGGTGATAATACAAAATTACCACAAAGTGACATTGATAGACTAATCCAGTGGTACTGCAACTACGGAATGTAACGTTAAATACAAGTAAATGTTATCATGTTAAATACTCCATAAAACAAAATTTAATACATGTCAGTTATTTTATTTATAATACTGTAACAGCCAGACTAATCAACCCTAAACGGGAATAAATAATATATACTCTGCTGCCACCATAACGCGGAAGGCGAAGATAAAAAACATTTATTTCCTAACTATCCCCGGCTACTGAGATACTGCGGACTGCATATAGATAATTTGACGTTCTTATAAAGAAACAAGAAGCAGCCGCAAATATCATTCAGCGCCACATTGTCTTCACACACCGTTATCGTCACGTATCCGTCGACTTTTTTATACGTATGGAGGCGGAAAATGCATTACGCATACCACGATATCCGGTCTATCGTGGTTATGAGGGGCTCACTGTCCTACCGGGGACCCTAAGTGATACCCTCTAAAAACCGCCTTTGGGGACAGGCAACCGGCTGATTAAGCTGTATTGTGCCTTATCATGAGCGACCCTCTTTTGGGAAAAGAGGGCGCAGGCGGCTAAGAGCCGCTGAGGGAGTGCCTACGAAGGCAAATTAATGTTAGTTATTACAATAATTTTATTTAATTAGAGTTGGCCTGAGCTGCCAGGAGACAGTTCAGGTCGTTTGAAAGTTTATTAGGCGGGTCTGAGAGAGAGTTTCTCGGCCTGCGGACACGATAGCGAGAGGGGGGTGGGGCTGCATAAGAAGCTGCCTCACGAATTAAATGGTTTGGGTGCGACTCTGAGGCTTTGAAGAAGTTCTCAGAGAGTTTTTTAAAAAATTGTTGAATTGTTGGGAGCTCTAAGTCCCGATGAAGGTCGGCATTACGGACGTACCAAGGTGCGTTCGCAGCTCGACGACAGAAGAGGTTCTGAACTATTTGGAGTTCATTTAAAATATTAGGGTTTGCGTTGGCAAAGACGGGGCCCGCGTAGGACATGACTGGTCGTATACAGACCTTGTAAAGGGTACGCTTGTTTCGAAGGGACATTTTACTGTGTCGGCCCAACATACTGTTGAGCCTACTCAGATAAAATCGTGCGTGCCGGGTTACTCTTTTGACGTGGGACCTGAAAGTGAGCCCTGTGTCTAGAGTGACACCTAAATATTTGGCGGACGTATGCCAGGGGACAGGGGTCCCTAGCATACGTATTGGTGGAGTGTTTTTGAGACGGCGTCGTTTATAATCGAAGTGAACGGCGGAGCTCTTCTCCGGGTTCACATCGATGCGCCATTTTTTGAACCAAGCTCCTAGGTCATCAACTGACTTTTGGATCTTGTTCCGTATGAAGGGTAGTGAGACACCTTTGCAGTAGATGGCAGTGTCGTCTGCGAAGAGGGAGAGTTGAACACCTTTCGACGGGATGGGAATGTCGTTGGTGAACAGGGTACGCGCGCGCACCGATCTGCATGACTTATAGCCCGGTCCAGCGACGTAGCTTCGTGAACATAACACGAGTCTCACGCCGGGAAACGAAACGTACATAATAATTGTATATTTTGATTAATTTTCATTGGTCATAATGTAAGAATTATAATTGGCTAGGGAAAATAAAAATTGTTACCATTGGTAAACCAACACCGCAGCTAGCCATATAAATGTAGGCAAGGTTAACGAAAATATATTCCATTCCATTCCATATTCATACTCCAATCGGCTTTACGTAAACAGTAGTTTCATTTCTCCACCTTAAACCACTCGGAGTCTGTTAATAGTGGACCGCAACATTCTCCACTTACAGTGGTGACCCGTACGAACACCGCGTAGGAAGCCCTTGGCGAACACCGAGGAGGAAGATTCCGGTACGAGCACCAAGAAGGAACACCCTGCGACGTACCACCATTACAGTGTAGTAGTACGAACACCGAGAAGGAAGACTTCAGTATATATAAAAGCAGTGTAGTCAAGCCGTCATTATGGAGCAAGAGGCGAACACACATATACATCAATTGTCGAAGAAATTCGGAAGCTATCATACGAAGTCGCTGCGCTCAAAGCTTCCCAGCATCACACCTGTTACCAGCAACAGTACAACCAGCGCAATCAGCAACACCGAAGATCACCTTTTCGTCGCAACCGCTCTGCAAGTAGAAGTCGAACAAGCTCAAGAACAAGATCCCCTTACTGCTACTATCATCGACGTTTCGGGTTCGAGGCAAGAAAATGCACAACACCGTGTACATTCAAAAGTGAAAATACGAAGGCGCTCGAACTAATACGCTCAATGCGATGGGATCCAGCGTAACAGCAAAGTCCTACCGTCTTTTCGTCACCGATAAAAAAAGCAAGCTTACTTTCCTTATCGACACCGGAGCAAATATCTGAGTGTTACCGCCGAAGCAAGGACAGAAGTTGAAGCCACTGGATTTTCAACTCTATGCAGTATATCGATACGGTGATTCCTACATATGGAGAAAAAACAATGGAACTTGATTTAAACCTACGCCGACCATTCAAATGGAGATTTATCGTCGCAAAAGTCAGCAAACCAATCATCGGTGCTGATTTTCTTCAACATCACCAGTTGATCGTCGACATCAAAAATAGAAGAATCATCGACGGGAAAACCAATCTTGCATCTCAGTCTTTTGTCCAAGCAACCAATCTGCCCACAATAAGAAACATAGATGTTCAACAACCGTATCACAAGATCCTCGAAGAATACCCTGGTATCACTAGAATAACTTCAATGAAATTAACACCGAAGAACGACGTTGAGCATTTCATCGAAACCAATGGACCACCACTTCATTGCCGTGCACGTCCAATCGCACCACACCTATGCGAGCAAGTTCGAAAGGAATTCGAAAACATGATTGAGCAAGGAATATGCCGTCCAAGCAAAAGCCCTTGGTCATCACCACTTCACATTGTACCGAAGAAGAACGGAGAATTACGAGTTTGTGGAGATTACAGAAGACTGAATTCTATTACCACTCCTGACCGCTACCCAATACCGCGAGTCAGGGATTTCACTCATCAACTATCAGACAAGACTATATTCTCCACCATCGATCTAAACCGAGCTTACCAACAAATAAAAATACGCGATGAAGACATAGAGAAGACATTCAATAATTACCCCAATGGGATTATTCGAATTCCCAAGAATGATCCCGGGATTAAAAAACGGAGGTCAAACTTTCCAAAGATTCATACACGAAGTACTTCATGGACTGGATTTCGTTTTCGCATTTATCGATGATCTCCTTGTTGCAAGCCCTGATAAAGAAACGCACGAAACCCATCTACGCACCGTGCGATTAGAAGTCAACGGAATCACAATCAACCCTTCGAAATGCATATTTAGACAGCAAGAAGTTCAATTTCTTGGCTTCACCGTCAGCAAGGAAGGAATCAAACCGCCTGCCGAAAAAGTCAGAGCAATCATCGATTATGCGAAACCTAAAACTATAGAAGAGCTAAGGCGTTTTCATGGGATGATAAATTTTTACAGAGAACACATACCTAAAGCCGCTGAAATCCAAGCACCACTTCATGCCTACCTTCACAACACGAAGAAAAAAGATAAAACGTCAATCGAATGGAACGATGAAGCCACGAAGGCATTTGAAGCTTGTAAAGTTGCGATCTAAAATGCAGCATTACTCGCTCACCCATCACACGAAGCAACCCTTGCTATCTTCAGCGACGCATCCGATCTCTCAGCAGGAGCCGTTCTCCAACAATACAGCAATGGGAAATGGCAACCACTTGGCTATTTTTCGAAGAAGTTCTCCGATACTCAACGTAACTACAGTACATTCGATCGAGAGCTACTCGCTATTTACATTTTCGAGGGTCGAAACCTGATCGTTTTTACCGACCACAAGAAACACCACGAAGAGCAAGACAACTTATTTTCATAAGTGAATTCACGACCGACATACATCGGTGGAAAGGACAACATAGTCGCCGACGCACTCAGTCGCGTAATATTAAGGAAGTAGAGACCATTCGGGTTCTTGGCGTAATATATGATATAAAATTATTTTTTGTACCCCATTTGGATAACATAATTATGAGAGCATCTAAATTCTCTATCTAACTGTCATAACTCAGAAGGAACTCGAAAAATTGCATTACAAAACTAAAATATTTCTTTACAGCAGTCTAGTTCCTAATATTTTAAAATATTGTAGTGTGTTTTTTTTTGCGCCCGAAGCAAATAAAAGCAACCCTCCGGTAACGGGGGAGGGAGGTGGTGAATGTTCACAGTATACCAGCCGGTTGTGAGGTTATGTGGGCACTTTTACCCACTAAACACCACCTTTTGGGATTGGCTTAATGATCTAGCGAGAGATCTTGAAGCCGTAAACGGACGCGACCCTTCTTGGGTGAAAGGAGGGCGCAATTGTTAGCAAATAATACAATTTATGTTACAGCATATCACTTTTATTTCATCCGTTTATATTTCACAATTTATTTATCGTACAAATAATCACTGTTACTTAGTACCTTCACTATATCTTTACACCAAAAACTGTCAAGTCTCTTAAGTCTCAATACCTTAGAACTGAATGCCCCGCTTGGGTCGTGACGGCCATTTTTATCCTTCTTTTGTTAGGAGTCAAATCCGAAACTATTACAATAAAAATCTTACCGGAAATTCAAAGCCACAAAAGCGGAAATCCGATTTACATTTATTAAAGTTAGATGTATATTTCAAGAGATAACTACATTAAAATTAGGTTCTTTACACTTAATTGCTAACACAATGTAGTGTGGTCTGGAGACCACACTATGCTTCACATTTATTACGTATCGAACGTGTTCAAAAGCGGTTCCTCTGGCATCTAGCTTTTTCTATTGGTAAAACAAAAAAGCTACGGTCCTATAATTACTATTATACTTTCTAAAATTTCCAAATTATAATTGCATCATTTTAATTTGGAAATTTTAGAAAGTCGCAGTAAGTATAATGATGCAGATTTTGTACATAAAATATTTAATTCTACAATTGCCTCAGTTTAATGGAACTTTTTAAGTTTCGTGTACCTTCGAGCTTACCCGCAGCTCTATTGCACCACTTAGTTCACCATTAGGAACTGTATTGGGAAGGAATTCTCCTTATGCCAGGTTCTGCAAAGTTAAAATCTACATTCACTTTGACTCACCAGTTATTTAATTTAAACTTAGATCTATAGAGCGGTTAACGAAACTATAGTCTAGTTTCAGTATTATTTTATTTTATTTTTTATGTTATGGAAAACCAACAGCTTACAAATCTTAAGTAAATGACATATTAAATTTATAGGAAGTATATATACGCATTGTGTCTATTTTGTTAATAAATCTTTTTTCCACTGTTTTCAAGTTTCGATAATAATTTGTTCATGCGAAACATAATCAAATGCTTCGGACATATCAAAGAATAATAAGTTACGTATGATTTTGTTCTAATTTATTAGAATTGCCTTGAATTTGATTTATGTAAATTAATCGATAACAAAGAAACAATCAGTCTTTATCGGAGACGTTTATGGGTCGTTGTAATATTTGTCCAAATTCTCTCTAAATACTGAAGAATGTCAGAAATGTGAACTTAAAATATAAAGAGGACAAACAGTCGTTTCAACAGTGTAACATTAAAGATTTGGTTCAGGATTCATGGGCTGAAGTCGGGTAAGCTGCTGAAGGAGTTCCGCGGGCACACGTCGTTCGTGAACGAGGCGGTGTTCACACCGGACGGGCACGGCGTGCTGAGCGCGTCGTCGGACGGCACCGTGCGACTGTGGAGCGCGCGCTCGGCCGAATGCACGGCCACCTTCAAGCCGCTGGGCTCCGGCGAGCCGCCCGTCAACTCGCTGCTGCTCACGCCCAAGAACCCCGAGCACTTCGTGGTGTGCAACCGCACCAACACCGTGGTCATCATGAACATGGCGGGCCAGATCGTGCGCTCGCTGTCCAGCGGCCGGCGCGAGGCGGAGGGCGGCGCCTTCGTGTGCGCGGCTCTTGGGGCCCGCGGCCGCCTGCTGTACTGCGCCGGCGAGGACCTGGTGTTGTACGCCTTCTGTGCGGCCAGCGGCAAGCTGGAGCGCACCATCAACGTGAGTACCGTGCCCGTCCGCCTGCATACTGTACTGTACTGCGCCGGCGAGGACCTGGTGTTGTACGCCTTCTGTGCGGCCAGCGGCAAGCTGGAGCGCACCATCAACGTGAGTACCGTGCCCGTCCGCCTGCATACTGTACTGTACTGCGCCGGCGAGGACCTGGTGCTGTACGCCTTCTGTGCGGCCAGCAGCAAGCTGGAGCGCACCATCAACGTGAGTACCGTGCCCGTCCGCCTGCACACTGTACTGTACTGCGCCGGCGAGGACCTGGTGCTGTACGCCTTCTGTGCGGCCAGCGGCAAGCTGGAGCGCACCATCAACGTGAGTACCGTGCCCGTCCGCCTGCACACTGTACTGTACTGCGCCGGCGAGGACCTGGTGCTGTACGCCTTCTGTGCGGCCAGCGGCAAGCTGGAGCGCACCATCAACGTGAGTACCGTGCCCGTCCGCCTGCACACTGTACTGTACTGCGCCGGCGAGGACCTGGTGCTGTACGCCTTCTGTGCGGCCAGCAGCAAGCTGGAGCGCACCATCAACGTGAGTACCGTGCCCGTCCGCCTGCTGCGCACTGTACTGTACTGCGCCGACGAGGACCTGGTACTGTACGCCTTCTGTGCGGCCAGCGGCAAGCTGGAGCGCACCATCAACGTGAGTACCGTGCCCGTCCGCCTGCTGCACACTGTACTGTACTGCGCCGGCGAGGACCTGGTGCTGTACGCCTTCTGTGCGGCCAGCGGCAAGCTGGAGCGCACCATCAACGTAAGTACCGTGCCCGTCCGCCTGCTGCATACTGTACTGTACTGCGCCGACGAGGACCTGGTGCTGTACGCCTTCTGTGCGGCCAGCGGCAAGCTGGAGCGCACCATCAACGTTAGTACCGTGCCCGTCCGCCTGCTGCACACTGTACTGTACTGCGCCGACGAGGACCTGGTGCTGTACGCCTTCTGTGCGGCCAGCGGCAAGCTGGAGCGCACCATCAACGTGAGTACCGTGCCCGTCCACCTGCTGCACACTGTACTGTACTGCGCCGGCGAGGACCTGGTGCTGTACGCCTTCTGTGCGGCCAGCGGCACGCTGGAGCGCACCATCAACGTGAGTACCGTGCCCGTCCGCCTGCTGCACACTGTACTGTACTGCGCCGACGGGGACCTGGTGCTGTACGCCTTCTGTGCGGCCAGCGGCAAGCTGGAGCGCACCATAAACGTGAGTACCGTGCCCGTCCGCCTGCTGCACACTGTACTGTACTGCGCCGACAAGGACCTGGTGCTGTACGCCTTCTGTGCGGTCAGCGGCAAGCTGGAGCGCACCATCAACGTGAGTACCGTGCCCGTCCGCCTGCTACATACTGTACTGTACTGCGCCGGCGAGGATCTGGTGCTGTACGCCTTCTGTGCGGCCAGCGGCAAGCTGGAGCGCACCATCAACGTGAGTACCGTGCCCGTCCGCCTGCTGCACACTGTACTGTACTGCGCCGACGAGGACCTGGTGCTGTACGCCTTCTGTGCGGCCAGCGGCAAGCTGGAGCGCACCATCAACGTGAGTACCGTGCCCGTCCGCCTGCTGCACACTGTACTGTACTGCGCCGGCGAGGACCTGGTGCTGTACGCCTTCTGTGCGGCCAGCGGCAAGCTGGAGCGCACCAACAACGTGAGTACCGTGCCCGTCCGCCTGCTGCACACTGTACTGTACTGCGCCGACGAGGACCTGGTGCTGTACGCCTTCTGTGCGGCCAGCGGCAAGCTGGAGCGCACCATCAACGTGAGTACCGTGCCCGTCCGCCTGCTGCACACTGTACTGTACTGCGCCGGCGAGGACCTGGTGCTGTACGCCTTCTGTGCGGCCAGCGGCAAGCTGGAGCGCACCATCAACGTGAGTACCGTGCCCGTCCGCCTGCGCACACTGTACTGTACTGCGCCGGCGAGGACCTGGTGCTGTACGCCTTCTGTGCGGCTAGCGGCAAGCTGGAGCGCACCATTAACGTGAGTACCGTGCCCGTCCGCCTGCACACTGTACTGTACTGCGCCGACGAGGACCTGGTGCTGTACGCCTTCTGTGCGGCCAGCGGCAAGCTGGAACGCACCATCAACGTGAGTACCGTACCCGTCCGCCTGCCGCACTGTACTGTACTGCGCCAACGAGGACCTGGTCCCAGTCGGTATAGTCCAACTGGGACCTGGTGCTGTACATGCTTTATGTTTATGCAATGTGTATTGTCATCATACTACTATTACTCAAATTGAACAGTTTTAGTATACAAAAGAAAACCTCTGAGCTTCAGTCAATCGCTTTATATAGTTGCATATTAAAGTCTTTATTATGAAATAAAGACTTAACTACTACTTAGTACACTTCATATTTAGGAGAGGTACACGTAAAAGTGCTGTTGGGAGGATTTTTTACAAATGTATTAAATCTTAATAATAAATTCAGTTTAACCATTAAGTTTTATTAACGACACAATCTTTATAATTTCCAGATACATGAAAAAGCAGTAATTGGTATGACACATCATCCGCATCAGAACTTGCTGGCCACTTACAGTGAGGATGGCCTACTTAAGATCTGGAAACCTTAAGTGTGTGTCATCATTGTGACAAGACTCATTAATCAGTACAGACATTGAAGTAACTGCGTGACTTGCGTGATTGTTTTGTTATATAAATAAGTTACAAATGTGTACATACATAAATAAGAAGCGAGAAAAACTTTGTGTGTATGTTTTATGAAATATTAAATTTTACTCCTTACGTTCGCCTCTTTTATTTAAACTAACACCTCCCAGCTATATTACAGGTTACGACCATTCCATTCCATTAAATTCTATGAAAAATATCTTTCAGTAATTGTTTATAATATTTAGTTGGTCTCCAACAATCTTATTAAGCTGGTATTTATAGCTGTTATTTAGCTGTATAAGTTCATTGTTACTTAGTTTAGTGTAATGTACTGATCATAATTGTGTGGGAGAACATTTTATTTATTCATATGATGTCACAAATAAGGTGAAATTACGTCTTATAAGATGTAAGACCGTATTGAGAACTATAGGTCAATATCTAAGCTTTTTTGTTCTAAAATCTTAGAGATAATTGAATTTCTTTAATAATAATAATCTTTATTTGCAAGAATATGGTTGTACAATGGTGTTTGAGTATAATTCGTTCTACATATTCTACCTTAATGGTGTGCAAATATTAATTGGTCAAGTAACCTAAACAACAATACTTATCGAATTTAACAACATATATTAATTTAACAAAATATAAAATTATTTAATATTATTTACTTGATTTGATAATTAATTTATTATGCCACAGTGTCAGAAAAAATATAAGTAAGTAATATTAACTCAAGTAAGATTATTATTATAGGTCAATGTCATATATTAATTATTATTTTTACGTCAATAATTATATAATGTTACATATCCAATTGTCATTAATTTCTTTCTATTTTTACATCAAATTTATTAATTAATTAAATACATAAGTCAAATTTTATATAAAATAATATCAAAAACATTTTTTTTAAACATTAGAATATTGTAATTACGTAATTAATCATATTCTAAAATTATCATTCATTATTACTCGTATGTAGGTCGTTGTCGTTTAAGAACTCTTCTACAGAATAATAACATTTAGGGAGCAACAATGCCAAAACAGATTTCTTAAATGATAATAAAGTTTTACGCTTTAAATTATCAGGTAATTTATTATAAATTGTAATCGACATTGCAGAAGCATTTCTTTTTGTAACTTTTAGACGATTTGCTGGTGCATATAACCTATTCTTGTATCTACCCTTACTTTCACTCACATCACACTTACGTTGAAATAAATGTGGATACTTATGAATAAACATGCACATTTCAAATATGTATAATGAAGGCAAAGGCAGGATCTTTTTAGTTTTGAACAAAGGTTTGCAACTCACTAAAGGACCAACACCACAAAGAGCTCTTATGCAGCGTTTTTGTATATCATGGCATCAAACAAAGACTCGGTGATTATAGGCACTGCTTCCTAAATAGTAGATCGACTTTCTTAACTGATATGTGGCAACCTTTAAAAGTCGGCATAGTCTACACTATACGAGTAAGGAAAGAGCAGCCAAGAGAACGCTGGAAGAATTCGCCTCACAAAAAAGTGTGACTCGAACGGAAACCAAAGGTTGCAAGAACGATCTACGCTTTCGCTGCTAAAGCAGATTTGGGTGTGGCCTTAACGTGTGCGCGTTTAGGTCACATAACGAAGAAGGTAGCTAATGATATCTTCGTGGCAATACAGAGGAAGATGATCAGCGGGGCCTGGAGTAGCCATGCGTCGTGCCCAGTTTTTAGAGGCATACTCGTTTAAACGGAGGGTGTCTTGAAGCTATGGTGCGACGATCAGAAGGCTCTGGATTGGTTGAAAGGGAACATTGCTACCCTCGACCTCAAATCCAACACCTCGCTGATCATAGAGAAACAGTCAGAGATACCACAGAAAATCAAGTGTGGTATCCTTATACCTGATGCCCAAGTTGCCTGGAAAGACTTACGCGACATCGGTCGTGTGCTGGCGTACCAGAATCGATGGGTAAACATCAGGGACTGGCTGCTACTCAAAGCTGATAAGCAGACTGACGGGTGGTTCCTCGTTGTTTCGTTGCCGGAGGATCACATCCCGACCCTGATGAAAGCCGGACGCCGTCGCGCATATGTATGTGCGGCGGCGACGTATTTGTACGTAAAATTCCAGGGTCCGGGCCCGGTCCAAGGACCGGCCTAGAAGTTGTGATCGGGACGAACTACAACGCGCATCATCCCCTTTGAGGAATGGAAAAAACCCAACAAACGACATAAGATGTTAGTTGAATATGTATTTAGCACTAACCTTACTATTTTAAACACAGTTTCTGAACCAACTTTCGTAAACAAATGTTGTCGCAAAATAATCGACCTTACACTTGCAACAGAAGGAGCAGCTAAACTAATAACGGGACGGCATGTGTCCAAAGAGGCCTCATGCTCAGACCACAGATGGATCTGCTGCGTACTACAGGTCAATATTCCCGCTACACCACCATGGAGAAATGCCCGCCAGACGGATAAAACAAAATACCTTAATAGGCTGACGTCTTCACTCGTCGTAACTCGCGGGTTTCGAGGGGACAAATACCACAGCAGATCAGTCGCTCCTAGAAGTACAGGTAGCAGCTGTTACTAAAGAAAGGATGTTAGCTACCATGAATCATGACCAGAAATCACTTCAACAAGGCATGCTGAGGTAAAGCAACCATGTTGGTGTAAAGAACTAGATATGAACCGTAAGAAGGTAAGAAAAGACCTAAATAGGGTCATGAATACCTCAATGGATGAAGACTGGCAACTTTACACGAAAGCTAAGTATGAATACAAAAAATGTATCACGTATCGACGCTTGTGAACAAGCGAATCGGATAAGGAAAATCCTAGCTAAACAGAACACGCCGGAATCCATCTCTAAAAAAACCCGACGGAAGCTATTCGACATCGCCGGATGAAACCCAACACATCCTAATTGAAACCCACTTCCCAGGTTGATGCGTAATTGAGGGGGTAAACCGGCATGAAGATACACTGACGAGTGGAATTTAGCACAGAGGGGTAACGATGGATAAAATCCATTGGGCCATTCATAGTTTCCTACCCTATAAGGCGGCAGGACCTGACGGCATATTCCCGGCACTCCTACAGTGGGGGGGGGGGGGGGGGGGGGTTTAAGCCCTAATAGCCAGACTTGTAGACCCTAAATCCTACAGACCCATTAGTCTCACATCTTTTCTTCTAAAAATGATGGAGAGGATGTTTGAAAGGGAATTAGGGGGGTCGATGCTAATTAACATACCGCTACACGACAAACAACACGCCTACAGCGTAGGTAAATCGACAGAATCGGCACTTCAATTTGTACTTGTAATAACAAAGATTGAAGAGGCCATCTAAAACAAAGTAATATGTCTAGGTTCCTTCATAGACATATGTAGATGCTTTTGACAGAACGAACTTCTCTAGCATAAAAGGTGCACTAAGTATACATAAAGTTGAACCAGCACTGATTGAATGGATACTAAACATGCTCAGTACACGAACAATAAAAATTGCTGGTGAATTTCAAAGAATTCAGATCATGAAAGGCTGCCCGCAGTGTGGGGTCCTTTCACCTCTCCCGTGGAATATGGTCATTAGTGAACTTATCACCAAATTAAATGCCAATCATTTCTACACAGTACATTATGTAGATGACCTGACAATAATGGCCTCTGGAAAGACAGCAAGCCTGGTGTGCGACCTGACCCAAGCGGCTCTCCGTATAATGGAGAGATGGTGCAGGGAATATGAATTAACCCTTAATCCAAATAAAATGGTCCTAGTAATGTTCAAACAAAAACGAATGCTGAATAACTATCATCCCCCAAGTCTTCTCAGCACAAAACTCCAGCTATCTTCTGAGGTAAAATACTTAGGTCTTACCTAGGACAGTTAACTCAATTGGAATAAACACATAGAAAACAAAATCAACAAAGCTAGTATAACTTTCTGGTAATGCTGAAACATGATTGGCAAACGATGGGGTCTGATGCCAGAAATTATACTGTGGCTGTACAAAACTGTAATTCGGCCCATCATCACATACGGCGCTCTGGCATGGTGGAACAAAACAATTGAAGCCACCACTATAAAGAACCAGAAACTGGCATGCATGGCTGCCACAACCTGCATAAGAACTAAGTACACCAACACTTTAATGCTTACAGCAAATGAGTGGAATAATTTGCCGGCGTCTATCTTACCGTCCGAATACAATCTGGGCGTCTTCAAGGCAACAGTGAATAGGCCTTTATTACCCTAAGACAGTGCGATTTACCTTCTAACGCTGCATCACCACCTACCACCAGGTGGGGTTGTGATCAAGCATTGGCTTATAAAAAGTAAAAACAAGCAACAGCAGCTTTAGAGG